CTTTGGTCTTGATTTTAATATGTTAATTATATGCCGAACATGCAGACAACATTCAAAATCTGATCCCACCTTTGAAATGACTTCTTTATTCGTTCTATTCTGATTTGTCTTTTTTTAATGGAGCATGATTACACATTTCTCTAGTCGTGTTTTTATTCAAACAAGAGGACATCCTTGTATGACGATATGTTATTTTAATGGTATCTTTTGTGACTTTGCTTTCTTAATCTTGCTTAAAAGTTTAAACTGTATAATTGCTTAATTCGTATTTTATCTCCAGTAAGTATATATATGTAATCATTTAGAGGCATTTAGAGTATTCTATTCCATACTTAACCTATCATCACTTTCAATAGACATTTACGACTGTCACAGTTCTTCGATAAGTTCTTGGACGATGTAAATTTCTCCGAAGATATGTTGCAATTCGACAAATTTTGTATATTCAATAAAATGATAAATAAATATATTTTAAAATAATATGCAAAATTTCATTCAGTTTTACTAACATTTATTAAAGTTATATCAATTTTTTTAGGGATGTACTGAGTTCGAATCTCGACCGCGACTGATCTACAAAATGGGTAGCAACTGTTCCTTCGCCATGCGCTCGGCACTTTGAAATGAAAGCTTTCAAAGCTTTAAAAATCAAGGCCCCATGTCAGCGGTAGGCCTTGGCACGATAAAGATCCCTCACTGCTCAATGCCGAGTATAGGTCAAAATTTGAAGCCCTTCATCGGCATACGGTGACGTCTCCATATTATACAGAGCGCTGTTCTGTGGCGTCCAATTCTTACACCGTTTTCCACGGTGAATCGAGACCGTTCCCTTTCATTATGAATCAATAAGCTGAGAACTACTTGCTCAAAATATCTGAAACTTCTCAAAAATGACGATTGCCTATTTTTGTGACGTCATATTGAATATCATAATTTTTCGAACGCAAAATTAAAATAAATGTAATTACAAAATCGACTTACTATATTCAAATACGGAGAAGGGCTATACATTTTTTATTTAATTGACAAAAAGAGAAAAGTGTGTATAATTATAAAAGTATGGAAAGTTTCACTTCAAACTAACAATTGCAGCGATCAGTATAGAACCCGTCCACGAACTTTTCGGACAACCCTCGTATATTGGTTTTAATTCTACCTTGTATTTTGTTTTTTAAAGTAGTGAGAGTATATTAAAATCAATGAAACCCTCGTGTCTACCAGACGCTTTGCGATAAATACTTATCGGTTATTGTCCAGTAATTAAAGTCTTAAAGACACCAGAACACTTTTTTTATGAAAAAGTAAACAAAAGGATTTCTAACTTATTGCTAGGAGTACAATGCTAAAACGCTTGTGGAAATTTATGTTAAATCCAGTAACCCAGGATTTGTTGTGAAATAAGTTTTATTTTTGATTTTCCATCATTTAGTTTTTCAAATGTATCTTTAAAAAGTTGTTAATAATGTTATAAATTGTAATCAGATACATCTTTTAAAATAAACACAAACAATTAAAAACGAGAAATGAAAGCATACCGTAAATAGACCCATCTCCTGTCTGTTAAAGAAAGTGCAAATCTGTTATGCAATCTCAGTTTTATATGTCTTTGTGACCTCATATTGATTAAGTAGGACAAAAACTTAAATGACATGCTAAACTATCAAAGTTTTGTCTTCCTTAAAGAAAGAGCCGAGTATAATTATTCCGACATCTGTAAAATATAGTATTTAGTGTCAGAAAGCAATTATATTGTCATAATTGATACGAAAAATTAGAAAAAATAGATCTCATGTTAGGCTGTTGTTATAGAGGTCAGGATTTTTTTTCCTTTTGTTCATATGTGACAATACAATTGGGATTTGCCGTTGACTTGTTTAGTACATAGGTCTCACGGCAGTGTTCTGTATCGTTTGAAATTTCTGACAAATTGATATTTGATTCCCTATTTACAGTCTTTTATGTATCGTTTGTAGTTTTTAGATACAAAATTTCTAATATGTGATTTTGTGGAAAAATTCAGACGTCTTTTTTTTGTTCTTAAAGAAATCCTAAAAACAGCATATCAAAGAGCTAGGTACATGTTCTTCAGTAAATGATCATGGCCTGGTATTGTATTATAACTACAAAATGTATCACCCTCTTTTCCATTTCGTATATAAAAATAAAGTAGAGACTTGGTGCTTTCATTTCCTATAGTAAAAATCTTTTTGAGAATCTGAGTATCGGATAACAAACTTTGAGAAAATGCAATGTTCTTAAGTATTGCAGGAAAACACATGTAGCAGACTACATTCAGCAAAGAATTAAAATATAAGAATAACCCGCGATCGAAAAATTCAAACATGTTTTTTATTCTTCAAAAAAAGATTTTTTGTTATGTAATTGCATATTTTGGATAATGGATTGCGCTCTTTCTGAAATATTGAAAAATGGTTTAACTTTAGGCCACTTTTTACAAAGACACAGTGGATAAGGGAAAATGGCGCATTTTATGACCAGAGAACTACAGAAAAAATTACACCATGTTCAAAAGATACATTGTCATCAAAAGTCCAAGAGATAAATACTGCAATTGCACCCTTAACTGGACAGTTTTAATTTTTCAAGTGAGTTAAGGCTAAATACGAATATTTCTATGCAAACGAGCTAATAAAAATTCATAAATTGTATATTTTGTGTACGGAGAAAGTTCAAATAGATTTTCTTATACATACTTAAAACCCACAGTTTATTAATGCAAGTGCACATTATGACGTCATATTATGACGTCATTTTTCTCTCCCATTCAAGGTAATAAATCACATCAACAAAATCACGTCGGCGCAAGGGTATATCATATCTAACTTAAAATAAACAATGTATAATATTAAGGAGAATATTCTTAAAATTAATAGAATTGCACAAATCCTATGCACCTTCTCAATCGATAAAAATTTTAGGAAACTTACACTGGACTGTGAAATTTTACCCTGTTTAAACTTAAAACTGCACGAATAGTAAGTAAACAATTGCAGTGCCGACATCTATGCAGCAATACCTTAAATCCTTTACTATCCTGCGTCTTTTTATACCTTGTTTCTGTTAAACAAAGTAAGGCATGCCTTGCACCGAAGCGATTTTGTTGATATTTCTTATAAACTTGTGTAGTAGAGGTCGATGACGTCATAATATGACGTCATAATGAATACTGGCTATCGCATATCATGAATACCAAGAATGTATTAGAAAACAAGTCTTAACACTTTCTGTGCGGTAGGTAGAGCAATTATGGAATTTAATCAGATATTTTGCATAGAAACCTCTACATGTATATGTAGCCTTAACTCACTTGCGTTTTTTAAGAAATGTTTAGGACCAAAGAAGGCCCTATATGGCTCTTGCTCTTTAAAATATCTTTTTTTCTAGATCAATAGATTCATGTTAGCGGGGCTGGTCCATGATATTTTTTGTCAAATATATTTTTAGTTTCTACATAGAAAGCTTAAATAAAATAAAATCAAAAAATGGGTGTCAAAACCTATCCTACAGTACATTTGATATGATGATATGACCTTCTTGCACTGAAATTTGTGACGCGTCAAAAATGACATCTTCGACCCCCCCCCTCCCCCCAAGTGTTTTTATCCAAATAAAGCATGGAACAAAATAAACAATAAATCTATTTTTAAAAGACACTTTAAAATTGTAACAAAAAAGTTTTCGAATTTCTTTGCATAATTAATTATTTTACCTTTCTCGGGCATTGGAAATTAACTTAACATGAAAACTATTGTGAGTTTCAAACTTTAACCGAATTTAAGCGGTCGGTCAAAGTAATCTTAAATATTCAGAAACGAATATCAAAAGTGGGGGTACATGATGCAATTTCTTTGTTTAGGTATTACTAGTGTATTTTGTGTTAAACTTTGTTCAATTTTGTCCTGGACTTTGAGACAATATGGTTTGAGACAGTATTTTTACTATATTTGTCATAATTCGTTGAAGGAAGGATAAGGAGAGAACGAAGAGTATTCAATCTCAAATTCCATAAAAGAAGAGCAGAGCAATCACGGGCCTCCGAAATATCAGAGGTGGGATCAGGTGCCATTGAGGAGTGGGCATCCCCTGCTTACCGGTTACATTAGAATTTATTTAATAGATATTTCAGAACCAGTATAACACATTTTGCCGCAAGAAAATTATGTGCAACGAGGATAGAAAAATAGGAATCTAAAATTAACAGTACTGTTCATGGTTCAAAGATTGAAAAAAAATTCTTATAAAATCCTTCCTCCACAAAATTTTGTTTCTAGCTTAATTCTACTTGAATGGAATTTAATGGCTGTTTTTGTACTGAAAATAGTTTAATTTGCATTATTGAAGAATCCAGATTTCATGTTTGAACTTTAAAATGATGCAGAATTTTAGAAATAAAGTTCCAGACTCAAATCTGCCCAAAAGCTCTGGATTTCGCCCAGTGGTTCTTTAAAAGAAGATGAAAATGTGACGCCATCGACAACTAAGATCAACCATCAAATTTTGATCCTAAAAGCTCACAAATTATTAGTGTAAGAATCTTTTATTTTTCGAAATTTATTTTTATTTGGTTAGTTAGAACTTGGTATAAAACGCAAAGCACTATAATTGATAAAGAAATTGTGTTTCATTTAAGGAGTTAAATTTATGATATGAAAGGTATTTGCATACGACCATTTTCGTTTCACTGGTATTGTGTAATGTTCGACCGTGTAAAGAAATCCGTTTACACTGGTGTCGTGAATAGTACCTTAGATTGTAAGACCAAATCCTGTTACACTAGTTAGATCTGTTCTCCTCCAACCCCAACAGATCTTAACAAACATACATGTATGTCTTTTTTAAACGTTGTATTTATTCAACAGCATGTTTGAATTTTTAATAAAAAATAGTGAAAGACGCAATCATTTGTTAACTATGTACCATGCCTTGAAAGAAAAAAAACAGTACGTTTTGCTTGACCCTGTTTATTTTGTAGTGTTTTGAAGTCATTCTTCAGCCACTGGTCGAGGTAAGAACTCTTCAGGCTCAGCTGCCAGGTCTTCTATGGAGTACTTTCGCGTAGGTACACAGTCAACCTGCCCCATATCAGATTCCGATTCTACCTTCAGAGGACCCTTTGGATCATCGTAGAATATTTCTACGCCCTCTCGAATACCTAAACTTGGGTCTCTAGGGAAATAGTTGAAAGGAAGAAGGAAGAAGCTGACGTCACCACCGACTGTTTGTTGGTTAGGTACCTCATCCGTATGTGGTATGTGATGGATACCTAATGTTACCCAAGCAACCAGGTCCTGAAAAGAAAATGTTTTAAAAAAAAACTATTTTCAGCCTAGTATGAAAAGCGCCTAAAATACAATAAAAATTGATAGATGAAAATAAAAACTCTAAATCTCAGTGTCTCTCTCTTGCTTGCTCCTGCACTTCCTCCCATCCCAGTTGTCTAAAATTTCAGTCTAGAAAGCTATTATGCTTTAAATACAGTAGAAAATAAAAGATGTATAGAGAAAAATCTTTCTTTCTCTTTAACTCTCTCTGAATGAAGTATTAAGAGAAAATATTTGAAAATTGAATTGAAAACTAATACTGTGATAAGAATAAAATTATTTTACCCCCTGCACGATTGATTCCTCGCCTATAAAGTTTTCAAAATTGACCACACTGTCTTCTCCGTCGTAGGATGCATATTTAGAGCTGCTGAATTGTTCCTTTTCTTTTCTTTTTGTGACTGCTAATTGATACCGCATCCACGGAGCGCCTGGCTCATTCCCTTTACCTTCCTTGAAGAGACTTTTGGCTATTCCTCTTAAAAGAAGCCGATAGGCCCTAGGATTTCCGAACTTATCTTTGTTCTTTTCATTGAAGAACACATGGTATTTAGGTTTGTTAAAATTAAACTTAAATGCAGCTTCCCGCTCCGTTGTGTAATTGACTTTTACTATTTTTGTTTGGAACCATCTCTTGGGTTTTGTCGAAAATTCATTTGGAACACTTTCTTCTCGAATGTCGTATGTGGAGTAGCTGTTTTTTGTGCCTCCAATATCGACATCAACCTTAAAATGAAACATGTGTTGATGAAGAAGACCAGTAGATTGTCTGTTCATCTGAAACCCATATTTACATGTGTTCTGAACGTATGAAGGCAAGGCTATCCCTGACGCCATTACCTTTGTTTCCATAACACCATTTTGATAGAATATGAAATCAAAGATATAGTCGTAGTTGACAAGAGTAAAAATCATTCGGAGAACAAGAGCGTTATTAGGAGCACCTTCGTAATACCCTGATGGAAAGTCGTTTGCTACATAATGTCTTCTAAGAGGGATACCTGTATTGTGTTCATACAAACATATGGAATTCCTTCGTATTATTGGAACATCTGAAGATTCCGACATAAATGTGGAATCCGCAAAAGTTGCGTGGGTTGGACAATCGACACCAGGAACTAAGGTTTGAACATCTGTTCCAATCAGCACCACAGTATCGAAGAAATTAGCAAATCTGCCAATAGGTTCACCAGAAGAATAAAATACCGTTATCTCAGACAGACCTAATTCATAAACAATCAGTTCATTTTTGAATTTTATTTTGTGCAACTGTGGACCATGAGTAGGAGATATTCCAAACTGAAAGTCCCAGTTCATGTAGTGAACTGACTGGCCTTTGATAGAGTAACGTTTTCCGTCCGGTTCTACTTGTGTTGGAGGCCTTTGTGGGATCTTTGGAAATACTTTTGCAGGGCGTGGATTCGGAGGGAAGCTCACATGGAGTTTCTTTACTGTTCCTTGTCGCCAAGCATCTTTAAATGCTTGAAGCGAGGTAAACAGTTGACCATTGTACCAGACATCCGCAGTTTGTGGTGTAGCTGTCCCATCAAACAAGACTAGAACAACAAAATCAACAGGATTCAATAGACTTGGGCGCCGACTTTGGAAAAAAGGAAACCAGATACCGCGATAATTTCTACCTCGAACACCTGATGCCACGGCAGCATAAGGGACTGCCGTCTCAATATCTAAACATCTATCCCCACAATTCAGTAATGTTGCTTCAAAACTCTCAAGCAAAATATCACCTACTAATCTCTCTGCTTCTTCTTTCAGAATTTCAATAGCAAGCGAGAATTCTGGATTTGTGAAAGGTCTATAATAAAAAGGGATAAATCTAGGTCTTCCACAAAATTGTGGTCTAGGTCTTAGTCTCACACAATACTCTGCAACAACTGGATTCTCTTTTCCACCCAAAAATACCGTGACTAGCGCTTTCCTAGCCACTTTTTTATGACGTCTAGACTTTATGTGCTTTTTATTTGGAAGAATTAATTCCATCGAGAAGATGTAGTTGGAAGACAAAGTTGCCTCACTCGGCCTGGTAAGATTTAACTGACTTTGAGCAAACAAAAAATTGAAAATTGATTTGATTTCCTGACTAGTCAGGTCATGAAATGCTGACGGGTATTCAGGTTCACGGTGATCTATGGCACAATGTGGCAGTTCGCGACATTTTGGACACCAATCAGGGTAACTTGCACCATTCTGGGGGACTGTAAGAAAACGATAAGCATACATGCCGAAAGTTGAATTATACATATTGTATATATTGATCACAGCAAAGCTCTTTTGTGATAATTAAAGTTTGACATAATAATAATATGTAAGTAAAAAAATATTAAGAAATACTAAAAAGCCAAAACTAATGATTAAAAAATGTAGCGTTTTATTAATGTTTCTTTTTTTTAAAGTTTCATATATTGTTTTTATAATATTAAACTGATCAATTACAGATGTGTGTATATAGAAATGTGGCTTCCTCTCATGTGAGGTGAATATTTACAGAATTCATAATACAAAAAAAAAATTGATTAAATGCATATTTAATTTTTTTTTTGAAAAAAAATTGTGTTAGTTATACATTCTTACCTCCGTGTTGGTTTAAGAATATATTATTATATATTTTAACTGCTTCCTGGTTTTTGGCAACTCCCGCTGACGTAAAAAGGAGAAACCCCAAAACGGGTGGCAATATCTAAAAAAAAATTATTATTTACACTGTTCTTTGTCGGACGTCTCCAACACATATATTGAAGTTGTATAACTAGCAAGCAACGATCAAATTGGTCCTTTTGCGTATCAAAATCGTTTTTTTTTTCTTTTTTTAATTTTTAAGAAATTTCTTGAAATAAGTTATACATGTACTACAGCATTTTATTTTTTGCTTATTTAGCCTAAAAGAGTTTGAATTCGATAAAGGATTCTTTTTAAACTACTTTTTTATGGTGAAGTCAGTGACCTTGCGAATCGACGCTCGTGAAGCAAGTTCAATTGCCTAGAATGTAAGAACAGAGGAAATTCGGAACGAAATCATTTCATACGTCAGAAAAAAAATTGTGAGAAACATTCCCAGGATTCCTTTACTACTAACAGTAATGGCCTTTGCGTGTATAAATAAATAAATAAAAACGTCAAACGAAATAAACTTTTAGTTTGTAGAAATCTTATAAAGAAAATAATTCTGCTATATTTTTCGACCAAAATTGCACTTGGCTGTCCCTGTAAGCTCCTACGAGTTCCGTGGCGTCCTGTGACGTCACGGCTAGTCGAGATGTCTCGTGCCGCTTGATGTTTGAAGTTCAATTGTTTTTGATGGTACAACTGTCCTCGCCCCAACGGTCACACCGTAAAACAAATTATTAAATAAAAAAATAATAACGTCAAACGAAATAAGCTTTTAGTTTGTAGAAATCTTTTAAAGAAAATAATTCTGCTATTTTTTCGACCAAAATTGCACTTGACTGTCCCTGTAAGCTCCTATGAGCTCCGTGGCGTCCTGTGACGTCACAGCTAGTCGAGATGTCTCGTGCCGCTTGATATTTGAAGTTCGTGTTTTTGATGGTACAACTGTGCTCGCCCCAACGGTCACATCGTAAAACATATTATTGCTTGGTCCGATTCTCATCGCTAAAAAAATTATTCGATTTTCTTCTTGAAAAATAATTGTCCATAAATTATTTCAACTTTTGTCAAATTATATCCCCAAAGTCTTTTTCTTTTTAAAGATATCAAAATTCAAAAGTTAAAAAAATAATTTTTGTTTGGTCACACAAAAAATAATCCTTTGTTTACATTGCGTGACATCACCTTTGAAACATTAAATAAATCGCTTACATATATAACTCATGAAGAACAAACCCGAGCATTTTTCCACAACAAAGTGTACAGGGGCAATATATTCTAGCCCTCGTTACTAAACTCTTTCTAAAAAAAAAAACTTTAAAAATATCTGATTTTCCTTTATTCTGTAAATATGCATATTAATATAAAAATTACTATGGATTTTATTCAGTTAATTTTTAAAAGACATATCATGACAACTACTAATGGAAAAAAATACTCGGGTTTGAATTCTCTTCATAATTAGATATAACCGATAAAAGTATTTTTCAAAGGTGACTTCAAAACAGATCTTAACTTCCCGTCAGGAACTGCTGTTTATCAACAAGGTTTTTGGTCTCTGTTATCCATATAAGGATTGTTGTAATAAACTATTAAATCATCTTATAATTAATTTTTATATATTACATGTATCTATGTAATGACATACTAATATTGTTTAAGATAATATGTGCCTGTTTCGAATGAAGCGGCTTTAAGACATTTCCATCCCTTTTTGACATCCTAGGTTTTTTTCTTAAACTGAAATTGATTTTAAATTCATGCCAAGTAGAATTTTTTTTCAAAAGAATGTTTTTCAATATGATTATGACATTGATAAATATTGTTTTTTAAAAATATGTTTATTGTATTTTTCTAATCAATCATTCAATCTTTAAAAAGGTTGACAAGGGCAATAACTTTTTCTCGGTGTCTTAATTCAGGCATTTTCTTTATTGTACTTCCTATGTTAAACTGTTTCAACGAAATTCATAATTCAAAATCATCTTAGAAGTAGCAAGTATTTTTTTTTTTACTTTCAGCATCAGAATAATGCTTTTGAACCAGTTTTCACATAATTGTTATCATAATGTTTAGGTAAAGTGTACATTTTTTAATGTTGACAAAGACTGTTTATCTTTGTCTGTCAACACTGTTTATCTTTGTCTCCTATCATAAAGAATAATTCGACCTATACATTTTAGACAGTAATTAGTGAATATAATCTTTATTCAATGAAAATAAAAACAATTTTTATACTCTGAACCAATAAACGTGTGAAGGTTGAATCAAAGAATTAAACAAATATATCAAGAAAAAAAGGTGGAAAAACATACCTCTAGAAGATACATTTTGCTTTACGGCTGTGAATGATCTGCATAATTGTTTTCTTTTATATGCTTGTAAAGCAAGAAGATTTGACTAATACGTAAAAAAAATCTTTTCTCCGAAATCATTCTTCGTGATCAAGAGCTGATCAGCTATGATGTTGTGAGAAAAATTCTTAAAAAGAAATAAAACGAGCGATGACAACTCTCCGGTCTGTACTATAGTTTTGATATTTGAATATCTAACAATCCGACCTCTAGGTACCTGGCAGCTACGCAGTCATGATAAGGGTGTCCGAAGGCCTTAAATGCCTTAAATATATACATTTATTTTGATCTAGTTTTTAATCTTAATATGTAACCCTTGTTTGAAATTGTAGTCAATTTGAGATGATAGTTTAATCAGGTATTAAATAAAGTATTTTTGTGATGTCACATGACTGTGTTGATCACGTGACGGAGATTTATGACATTCCTAAATGTTGCACAAAAATCGCTTCGGCACAAGTGCAAAACAAAAATATTGTGCAAAGTTTGCTACGTAGATCGATTTATCGTGATCTCTGGTACATAGAAAGAGCTGGGGGCAGATTTAATTTTTACTTCTTAAGAAAATAGTTTACGAGAAATTCAACTTACCAACATAAGAGGGGGTATTTTCTACGCCTTATCGAAATTTATACAAAAATGGATAAACTACACACAATCCCCCAGCAAAACCCAGTTAGAGGACATACTTCTCTTGTAGATTTACGCAGAATATCTTCAATTTATCCTTGTCTTTTACTTGTGCCAGTCCAATATAAGCACGATTCTTAAATTCTAACTCTGTCTACAGACGTGTGAGGGGAGCGTTTCACACATAGTTTTCCTATATTGTTTGATTATTTGCATATCAGACAAGCAAAATATATAAAAATATCTCAATTTCAAATGTTCAACTTCATAATAACACATCGGAGCTTAAAAACAATCATAACACTTGAATTAAACAACAAGGTCCGAAAATAAATCTAAATGCCATGTACAAATTATGACACTTTCCCCGTCATGTTAGCTCAAGTATGCAGTGACTTGACGTCATATTCTATTATGACGTCATATCTAGGTAGTTCAGAGAAGTTACTACAGTCTGAACAGTTTGATATTTTACGGACAGCCTTATCCTAGCTGCGTAAAGAAGTGACGCATTTTTATACTGGGCGAAGTATCATTACCTTTTTATGTGTAGTCATGAATAAATAGGTACCGAACGACAAGTATCCTCCGGAACAGACTGCTCACCAGCAGAGATACATGTTCGGTGATTTAAAGAAGATTAATATGGAGAAAACGAACTGTATTCAATCTCAAAGTCCATAAAACAAAACAAAATAGAAGCAGAGCAAACACAGACCTCCGATTCATCAGAGATCCAAATGCTATTATAGGAAATGAAAGCACCAATTATGTACTTTATTTTGATATTTGAAATTGGAAAGAGGGTGATAGTTAATTACCTGATTTAAAGATAGGGTGATTTTATACAAAGTTTTTTAGACCTTAAATCACTAGTTTGAATTTCGAATCCTATATTTTGAATCTTGAATATCAAAGCTATAATCTCATATGGGCTTTCAGGGCGTTAGAATGATAAAAATCGAAGCAAGTTGGAACGATCGGTGGTTCTGTATGATTTTGTATTGTTCCGATAAAATGTTTAGATTGGAAATATTTCTATCTCCATTACTTTTGAAAAATTAATGCTGGCAAAATCAGTTATTTTTTCCTGAATAAAGTCAACCAAGTGACGCAGTTGTTTATCTTATCCTCTAAGGTCGCGAAGTAAAAGTTACGGGTTCGAATCCCATTGGGGGACTTGGAGACTAGTCCTTTCGATGAGACCGCATAAGCTGAGATCCCGTGTCGCAATACGTTCTGGCATGAAAAAGATCTTTCCTTGCTCAGTGGCTATCGATGCTTAATATAGCACAAAATTTGCAGCTCTCCATCGTCAAATTGTGGCACATCTATATAAGTGAAAAGATCTAGAAAGAATTTAAACAATATACTATGCAATTGATAAATTTTAAGTTTTTTTTCAAAATTAATTATCTAGCAGAAAGCAAGATACGAACAGCAATATGAGCTTCAATTTTGATCAGGTCCAGTACAATCTCTCGATTTAGCTATATAGTATAAATAGCTATACAGCTTTATTAAGCTATCTAAGATAGCTTTATTTAGCTATTTATACACAGTTTTTCACAAAAAAATTTTTTTGCTGAAAATAAACAAAAAGTCGCATGTTTTTGACTCTTCAAACATGTACCATGGACTATTAAAACAACAAACAAAATCAAAGGTAGTTTTTATATTGCAGCTTTAAAATACTTTTAAGCAAAAAGAGAATTTTTATTGTTAGACTAACTGTCCACTACCTTGGGTGCCTTGAGACAAGGAAAAGTATGATTGCTTCTCATTCTGCTGAACTGTTACCAATCAATTATCTTGTTGAACATATCTGGTCACCATTATAATATCATTGCAGAAGTAAGTGTATCAATTGCTTTATATAGCCCCAAAACTTGTAGAAGTTTGAGTACAAAATCACTCGATGAGATTTAAATTAATGAGCGATTTTTACATGCATTATTTTAAGAAGGGTTCAAAGTTGTATATCATCACAAAGGTGCGCTTTTTTGAACATACTGAGAAAATTACTCCTTTAAGAAAGAAAGTGTAGAAAAATAGCTAAGTAAAGCTATACTGAATAGCTTCATCAACCTATATAGCTAAATCAAAAGATTGTACAGGATCTGTTGATGTCGGAGTATTTTGTAGCAAAATTTTAAATAACTATTTCATGACAGAAAAAATAACATTAGGAAATTTCTATTGTTCATATTTGAGATAGACTAATTATAGGCTTTGACTGAATCAAAATTACATTATTGTCGTCCTGTAAAATAAAACTGTATAATGCATTGTATATTGAATTCTTTTTTCTGCTCTATTTTAATCTTTTTGATCATTAAGATTTAAGTTACATAGAAATTGATCAGAAAAAACGCATATTAACAGCAAAATAAAATTTTCGAAACTGCATCGCAAGTCATAAAAAAATATTTTAAAAAATATTGACAACGTCGCTTGATTTTAAAAGCCATGTAAATTCATTTTGGTCATTCAGTTGATTTAAATTTGTTTGAAACAATCAATCAAGATATTTTGTTTCAATTCACATGTACTAAACCAAATAAATTATCTATACAATTTATCTCACGGTACAAACATTCACTATTATTTACAGGTAGTTAATCATGGCGTATTTGCTGTATCAGAGGATGTTTGAATTGATAAAGTAAAATTATCGTTAAACTAACAAACTTTGATGTGGGTCTTCATGCTAATCTATGAATTTCTAATAGAAACTTGTGCTGAAGCAAAAACAATCTTTTAAAATGCATGTAATATGAAGAAAAACAAATGTATTCAAGCTAATCTCTGAATCTATAAGATAAACTTGTGTTGAAGCGAAAACAGTTTTTAAAATGCATGTAATATGAAGAAAACTAATGTATTCAAGCTAATCTCTGAATCTATAAGATAAACTTGTGTTGAAGCGAAAACAGTCTTTTAAAATGCATGTAATATGAAGAAAACAAATTCAGATGAATTCATTCGAAGGTATAAAAATCCCTTTTTTATGCACTTACCGAGTTTTTTGCCCGACTTTCCACAAAAGAATGTAATATGCTATAAGCATAAAGTAAAAGGGTTCTTGACACAGATTTGAAGTTTAGATGCTCTCAAATTTTGTTGTATATTATTTTATATTATGATTTACTGGTAAATGTCGTTATGGCATTCACAATGAAATTGGGTAACTAAAATGAAATATTACACAACAAAAAATAATTACTTTATTTTGAAATAGAGAATGTTTTCAACTCCAAACATAATATTTATGCTAAAATTGGTTCTATTTTGCAGGTTAAGTCTATGTTTCCATTTATGTATCAGTGACATCATATATAACTATCTTATATTGCGCCATAAGTAAAAATTTACAAATATTTCAGTTTCTCTTTTTTGTGTAAAGGTGCAAAGGAAAAGATTTGAAAAAAAAAATATTTTCTGGTTAATTACTCTTTAAAGTGCATTATCCTAAATAATACTTCAATTTAAAATGTATTTTACTGGGTATCGCCTCACCTAGATGTCTTAAAACAAGTACATAATGATAAGTAAGAGGACTTAAGTTTCAAATGATTAATTAGCATTTGCATTAATTAATTAATGAACATTACTAAATTTTGGGTGTATTCAAAAATTAGATGTTTCCTTCTGATCACTTGTATCCAGAACAAATAAATATTTTAGATTTACAAACGATTTAATTCCAGGAATTTTAGATGTTTACTTCACGCATGATGATAGTCATTTAAAAACCTGTATTTATCTATGCAGTCAAATCAAAATAAACAGTCTGCTGTACGATTTAACCTGAAAAATAAGATACAAAACAAAAGGCCTGTGGGCCACATCACTTACCTTTGAAGCACTAACCCAGGATGCTTCCACATAAGTTTTAGCTTTTCGGTCCAGTGGTTCTTGAGAAGAATATTTTTAATATGTATTTCTATGTAAAATTTTGATTCCCTATTGTGACCCCGCACTACACAAGGGGGTCATGATTTGAACAATTTAGAATCTACACTACCCCAGAATGCTTCCATATAAGTTTCAGCTTTTCTAACCTAGTGGTTCTTGAGAAGAAGATTTATAAAGAATTTTCCTATATATTGCTATGTTAAATTTTGATTTCTCATTGTGGCCCAGCCCTTCACCAGGGGTCATGATTTCAACAATTTAGAATTTACACTACCCCAGGACGGACAGCTGGACAGCTAGACGGACGACGGACAAAATGTGATCAGAAAAGCTCACTTGAGCCTTCGACTCAGGTGAGCTAAAAATACATGATTGTGGAGTTTTGTATTTATTGTCGCTAAAACATCTGCTGAACTCCTCATTTAAGT